ATACATGAGACTCTTTGATACTGTTAGATGTTTGAATACATCTGACAATTTACTTACAGTCTTTTATTTCTCTTCCAATATCTGATTGATTCAATGTCGAAGAGCTCCATGTTCTATTAAAAGGATTTACCAATTAATGCCACAAACAAATCCAAAAGGGTTACCAACATCGAACATAATCTTAGAAAATGGATCCATATTGCTCTGTTCAAAAAAAAAATTATCACTCAAACAAGTCCACGTTTGGTGGAATTTAACGACAGTCTGAGTGGATTTTGTCTGGAGAGACGACGAAGGAGAAATATTATTTCTTATTTTAATTGATCAAAATGTAAGTTCAAATATTATTATATTATTCACATTTTTTGAACCATAAAAATCGTTATTATAGCTTTATTTGGTAAATTTATCTAAATTACATAGAGATACAAAATGGCAGCAATTGTGCCAAAACATTTAATGCAAGTATACAGAACAATGGATTTGGTGGGACGTGTATTTCATTTGGATCATTTCCAGCTTCAAGGTATGTGTTGGGACTACCTGAAGTATGAGAAATATAACTTCGTTCACGGCGAATGGGTCATTTATATAAGCAGAGGGAGGAACCCGGTTTACGCCATCAATCAATGATACTGCAAATGAGTTTCCATTTTATCCATTGGTGCCTACAATTAGGATCCTTAAAAGAGATAGGACTACACGAAGACCGTTAAATAGTAAATAAAAAATATCTATTACATCTGTATTTTTATTTCACTTTTTCTTTTAGTAATGGAGAGTACAGTTTGTGGAAAATAAACATTTTTGTAGATGATGTGTGAAAAATAATTGTTGGACGGCGGGGCATGGACATGTTTGAACTCTTGCTGCAAAATGGGATGTAAGTATGTTTATGTATTAGAATTTACACATTAACAAATTATTAAAAACTTCATAACATATAAACTATGAAAGGATATATGCAATTGCTTAGTCATATGCTTTAAGTTCTATGATGATATTGGCTTTGATATGATTTGGTCAATTGCTTAGTCATTCGATATGTGCAATGTGATGGCAATTGTGTTTTGCTTAGTTATTCGTGCGTGATCTTATTTATGATAATTAATAGCTCTGTTTCAATATAAAGTCATATATTGATAATCTAAAAAAAACTATCTATCCATCATTGTGTAGAAATATATAGCTCTGTTTCAATATAGAGTCGTATGAATCATTATAAGTACATAGTTTTCCTTATTATGTATTTTTACATTAATGAGAATTGTAGATGAACAACGTGAAAGCAGTCATGTTAATGTACATATAAAAACATATGCATAAATTCTAGTCATAAATTATTGGTTCAGAACAAACAAACACTTATGGTATACAATATTATGTAAGACAAAACGAAATAGACTGCAAATGATGATGTATCTGATGTTGAGGTAGATATACGAAAAGGTATGTGTAATGTATACAGGAAATAACAAGTCAATGTTCATTTATTTATAATTAGATCTTTGATAATGCATATTCCATTATAATTATTATTTTTCTAGAAAGAAAGAAAGCATACCAGAGAGCATATTATGCACAACAAAAGGAGAATAAAAAAAATGAGATAAATATTGATGGCGAGGAAATTTGTCAATGTAGGCCACTTATGACAAATATCGTTGCACCGGAGCTGACTTAGATGAATGGGGCATCATCAGAAAGGGTACCATTAGGTACATTGTTATGTCACATACCGGCATGGCAATGGGGCGGGGATGAAGCGGGTTTTGTAATCCCCGGCCCCGGTTTGTAGTAACGTCCCCCGACCCCGGTCCCTGGCGGGTACGGGGATTATTATGCCGTCCCCGGTCAAATCTCTATCAATACCCGCTAAAACCCCGGTCAATCCCCGGTCAAACCCCGTAAATAGTATCCTTTAGTTTGATTATATCGGGGATCCCCGGCCCGTCCCCGGTTTGAGTAACATCCCCCGTCCCCGGCCCCGGGACCCGTTTTAGCGGGGAATCCCCGTCTCCGTTCGGGTCGGGTGAGCCGGGTATTCCACCGGGTCGGGGCAAATCACCATCCCTAGTCACATAATAAATAATTTATAATTTTATCCCAACAACAGTGAAATGAGGAGAATGACCATATGTGCAGATAATATAACAAAAATACATGACGACAATATGACACCATCCCTAAGACAAATGCTTAACAATCTGGATATCGATGGAATCCTTGTTATGACAGTGTCTATTGCTGAACAAAGGAGGATTTATAATAGAAACTACTATCAACGACGTAAGGAACAAAACAATAGGAGAACACGTGTTAGTACACAAGAAAGAGTTCATCAATCACCAACTACCATTGATACCATATAAATGCAGAATGTTACGAGAACAAAAAGAACAACACAAATATGCTAAGAGTTGGCACATCAAAACTTCAATGGTAAAAACAATGCATAAACTCTCATTTGTCATTCTTTTGTAAATCGTAATATTATTAATTTGACACTTACATGCCTTAGATGTAGGAACATCTACAGAAGTCGTTGTAGTACCATCAATCATAGATGACATCCTCTACGAGGATCTTTACGATTTTGTTTACAATGGTATCCCTACGAAACATCGCATCTTGAGCGAAGAGGATGCATGTGTTTATTGTGGAGCAAAATGCTTAGTTTTGAATTTGCATCCTTTAGTTGCATGAAAGGGAAGACCAAGTTGGCATAATCGCCCATTCCTGAAGAGTTATACCATCTATTCATTATGCAGTATGAATTAGGAAAATTGTTCAGGCACAACATACGTGCGTACAACATGAACTTTTTATTCGCGTCAATGGGTAACATTAGACACTTCAATGGCCGATATGCCAAATGGAGTAAACCCTTTTTGTGCAGATGGAGCGATATATCATAAAATTGATCAATTAGTTCCAAGGGATAGACAACCTAGGTACTTACAATTGTATTTTTATGATGATCAATCTGAGTTTTCACATACACTTCTATGGCCAAATCTTGATAAAGATAGCGTGAAAATTTTGACTCGCACTCTTGCGACAAACCCATACGCAACAACATTTTGAAGCCTTGTTGAGTTTGAAATGTTCGACAATTATAGAATCACTTTGAATACATCGGTTGAACTAGACCAGAGGGTGTACAATCATCCAACAACATCTGAGGTTTGACTAAAACAAAATGAATCTTATAAGTAGTATAGATATACATATACATATTACACACCATATTTAATTCTACTGTAGGTTGCTGGAATTTAGGTTGAGGGCAATAACAACATCACTGCATACAAGAGAAGTATTATTGTGTATGAGAGGTCTGACCATTGTCAAAGAATTGAATATTACCATTCTTGTTATGTTCCATTATCTTATCCTTTGTTCTTTCCCAATGGTAAGCCTGGATAGCGTGCGAGCATACCAAGACATGGAGTTCCTATCACTTTAATTGCCAATGATGACGAAAACATCGACGAAGATTTAGAAGGGCCATATGTTTGATATCACAAGTTTTGATGATTTTGTAAAGTAACATATATTGCATTTAAGCGTATATATTATTAGTTTACATTTTTTTCGAAATCAACATTATGTTGAGACTAACGGACGAAGGGGTAGGAATATTGTAAGTATGCAAGAGTATTATAATTACAAGTTCCAAATACGCCCGAATCATAACATCCTTCTATTAGGTGGCAGATTGTTACAACAGTTTGTTGTAGACATTTATATAAAGATTGAGACTTCACAATTAGATTTTTGTCAGAAAAACCAAAGTAAAATAAGAACAGATTTATATCAAGGTATTGCGAATTATGTGAATGACGGTGAGGTTCAACCGAGTAGAGTTGGACAATGAGTTTTCTTGCCTGCAAGTTTCATCAGTGGTGCCCACGTGATATGCATCGACGGTTTCTAGATGCCATGACTTTAGTTCAAGATGATGGGAAGCCATATATTTTCCTAACAATGACGACAATCCAAACTGGCCTAAAATTCGTATTGAGCTATTACCCGGGCAGAGTGCACAAAATCGTCCAGACCTTGTTTCTAGAGTGTTTCATGCCAAGTTAGAATATCTCAAGGAACAACTCTTCAAGCAATACATCCTCAGGGTCGTAAGATCATATGTTTATGTGGTGGAGTTTCAAAAACATGGTCTGCCACATGCACATTTCCTTCTGATAATGATATCAGAATACAAAACCACTAACCTGGATCATTACGAAAAATCCTATGTGTTGAAACTCCAGACACGAGAAAACATCTTCAGATACCCAACTTGGTTGTCAAACATATGATGCACGGTCCTTGCGGTCATTTACGACCATCCAGTTCTTGTATGTAGGGTGAACCTAGAAAATGTCATTTTAGATATCCAATGAAATTTACGGACAATATAACACACTCATATGACAAAATCTATCATAGGAGATATAATGGAATTCAAGTATATATATATACGAGCTAAGATGCTTGACAATCAATGAGTGGTCTCATATAACCCAAAACTTTTAATAATGTTCAACTGTCACATCAATGTTGAGGCTTGCTCAATCATAGTAGTTGTGAAATATGTCTTCAAATATATATACAAGGGCCATGACAAACAAGTTGTCAATATCGATCCACATGGAGAACAGGGTGTAATTAACGAATTAAGGCGATTTCAAGATGCACGTTATGTGTCCCCCCTGAAGCAATATGGAAAATTTTTATCTTCACTCTCTCTGAAATCAACCCTCATGTAATGGCTTTGAAAATCCATCTTCCGAACAACCAGTCGGTTAGGTTTAGGGTCAATGATATATTGACAAATATTGTTGACAGGGAGAGGTACAAGAAAACAATGTTGACTGTATTTTTCAAAAAGAAATAGACTTGACAGTACTACAAGGAGCCATTTGTATAAAGATCTCCCAAAACATTACACGTGGGATGCGGGATCACGTCAATGGAATTCTCGAAAAAGAGGAACAATGAGAGGGCGATTGGTTTCTTCTAATCCCGCTGAAGGAGAACAATACTACTTGCATCTACTTTTGTCTCATGTTAATGTCCCTACATGCTTCAAAGATCTCTATATGGTCAATGGCTTACTACATCCTACATTTCGAAAAGCATCTCTAGAGAGAGGACTAATCGAACACGACGATAATCTATCCCAGTGTTTTGCAGAGGCCTTCGTATTTCAGTTCCCAAACATTCTTAGAAGGTTATTCGCATTGATCTTGATTTATTGTGAGCCGAGAGATGTTCGCAAGTTATGGGAAGATCATTATAATTCACTTTTTGAAGATTACATGCGGCAATATAATAATTTTCAATGAGTCCAGGATATGGTGCTCACAAACATCATGGTTTTTCTAGAATTGATGGGTAAAAATCTGAATAATTTTGATCTTCCAGGGTAAATATTGATGTCAATTTACAAGATGGAGGCTTCCGTGAGGTGCAAGAAGAGTACTCGATAGTTGTCGAAGATGAACATTTACAAGCATGTGAATCTCTAAACTTAGACCAAAAATTCGCTTTCGATGAGATTATGAGGCATGTTGAGAATGATTGTCGAAGGATATTCTTCATAGATGGTCCTAGTAGAACTGGGAAAACCTTTCTGTACAAAGCTTTACTTGTTGAGGTTCGCTCTCGTGGTCTTGTTGCACTTGCGACTGCTTCATCGGGCGTTGCAACTAATAACATGTCGAGGGGAGAACTGCACACTCTCGATTCAAGATTCCTCTCAATCTGTATAATAACTCAGTATGCAACATTAACAACAAAGTAAGACTACTCAATTACATAATGTTGCAAGACTAATCATTTAGGATCAATCCTCGATGGCTAAAAGGAAGGCGGTGGAGGCACTTGATCTAACGATGCAAGATATCATTAGAAACATGCTCCCATTCTAAGGAAAGATAATGGTGATGGGAGGCGATTTTAGACGGGTGTTGCCAATTGTGCGACATGGCACAAGGGCATAAATTCTAGACTCCAGCCTACGGATATCACCTCTTTGGTCTTCGATTAAACAAATACGATTAACTATCAATATCAGAACGTTGACTGATCAATGGTTTTCAGAATTCCTATTGCGAGTTGGTGATGGAGATGAAGAAACAATTGATGATACTTTTATTTGCATACCTAACAACATGGCTATTCCCTACAATGATAAAGGTAACTCAACGGATGCTTTGATTGATGCAATATTTCCATCTCTTCAAATCAACGGAGATGCTTCAAACTACATAATTTCTAGGGCGATATTATCGACAAAAAATAACAATGTCAATGAGATTAATAACAAGTTGATCGATAGATTTTGCAGGGAGGAAAAAGTCTACTATAGTTTAGATGAAGCACAAGACGATAAGAACAACCTCTATCTGATGAAATTTTTAAGCTCACTAACTGTTAATGGTTTGCCTTCTCATTATCTCCGGCTAAAAATTGGATGTACAATCATACTCCTACGAAATATCGACCCTTTGAATGGATTATGTAATGGCAAAAGATTGATATGCAAATGGTTTCAACACAATGTCATCGATGCCGAAATAGCATTGGTCAACATGCTGGCAAGAGGGTGTTTTTGCTGAGGATTCCTTTATGTCCATCAGAAGATGACATGTTCCCATTTAAGATAAAACGAAAGCAGTTTCCAGTTCAATTGAGTTTCTCTATGACAATAAATAAAGCTCAATGACAAACGATCCCGAATGTTAAACCCCACAATTCATAATGTAAAAAGTAATGAAAAACWATAAGTGATGAAGAACCAGAAGACCAATGAAGACATCAAGGCAGAAACAACTAAGTCTGGAATTCAACCAGAGGACCGATGGACAGTCCAAGGATACGATGGAAAGAACATTCTCATCGATCCTCTAGTCATCAACACTTAGAAGATTTTCCAGCACTTCATCCAAGCATGCAATGAAGATTTGAAGATAAGGATGAAATCATCATATCATGAATGACAGCTGGAGATGACAAGTCAACAGCTGGAATTCGAGTTTATCTCAATATTAGCGCCTATCCATACAAAAGATAAACAATATCTGTTAATAGAAGATTTACTAGAAAATAGCATTATATAGTTATCTTCTTTTTAGCTGATTAGTATAAATAGGTGATTAGACCTATTGTAAAGAAAGTCGCTAGAATAGCTTTACGTTCTTCCTATAATAAGAGTGAAACTTTTGAAGCTCAAGACTGTTCTTAAATATTCTTATTTTTCTTCTTGAGCATTCATAACTTTCTTCGTTAAATCACTATATTTTGGTTATTCTTAACTAGATTATTAGTGTTATTGAGAGATCTGGGATCAACAATTGGTATCAGAGCCTATTGATTGACTTCCCAATCAAAACGATCATTCAAAAATCTCTCAATTTTTTATCTTCTTTCTCGTCAAAAAGAACGTCTTCTTCTTCAACATTCTCAATGGCTAACTGGAATTCTGCTTATAATGTTGGCTCTCTCACAAAGCCTCCAACTCTTCAACGAGAGGAATATCCAGAATGGAAAATCAGAATGGTAAATTTTCTGAAAGGAATGGATAGGAATCTCCTTCGATCTATACAGGAGGGTCCCTACATTCCTCAAACTCTAGTCCCAAAAGTTCCAGGAACAAACACCATAGCTGAAATTCCAGCTTATTACATGCCCAAAGATGAAAGAAATTGGGACGAAGATGACAAGGAAAGAGTTGAAACTGACAAAAAGGCCAAAAGGTTGATAATCATGGCCCTACCCAATGAGATCTTCCAGTCCCTTGATACATTTTCCACAGCCAAGGAACTATGGGATGAACTAGCAAGCCAACTGGAAGGAGGAGCAAAAACAAAGAAAAATCGTAGAGCACAATGTCTCAACGAATACACTAATTTCAAGGCCCTCCCTGATGAACCCATACAAAAGACTTATGATCGCTTCAACACATTGATAAATAAATGTCGTAGAAACGATATCATCAGAACTAAGAAAGAAAACAATGTTTTATTCCTAAAAAGTCTAGGCGATGAATGGACTCAGCTATCTATGTCCCTACAAGCAAACCAGAACCTAGATGGCTGGTCTCTTCATGACCTGTATGGAACTCTTGCAGCGCAAGAAAGCGACATTATGAAGAAAAAGGTATCCATCGGTGGTCCTCTTGCTCTTGCTGCCGAGGAAAAAGAAAAATCAAGAACTCCTCCCAAAGAGCATAAGAAGAAAGGCAAGAAAGCATTGGTGGTAGAATCAGAATCTGAAGAGGAAACTTCTGAATCAGATGATGAAATTAAAGCTTTCGCCAAATCGTTGGCCTTGAATACAAAACAGTTCCAAAAGAATTTCATCAGAAAACCCTACGAGCGAAAAGAGTTCAAAAGGGAAAGGTACCAGTCATCCTATGATAGAAAGCCATCCAAATTTCATCAAAGGGACGAAAGAAGAGATGGAAGAGAAGAACGGGAAGAGATAAGAGAAGAAAGAAGAGAAGAAAGAAAAGAGGAAAGGAGAGAGGACAAGGAACGAAGGAAAAATGACCTTCGATGCTTCAGATGCGGAAAACTTGGTCATTTTTCCAAGGAATGCAAAGGACGATTGATCAACGACGCTGACTACTATAAGAATAAATACAAGTATAATTCTAGAGAGCGAAGCTTGATGGCTGAACAAGAAAATTGGGTGTCCGACTCTTCATCAGACGATGAAGATAAAGCGTTTATCTGTTTAATGGCCACATCCAATGTAGAATCCTTCTCCAACTCTGACGACCAAGTATGTGAGTCTTTCTCAAATGAAACCAACTATGTTCCATCAGAACTAGAGTTAAGGGTAATCAAACTTTCAGAAGATTTCTTGAAATTAAAAGAAAAATTAAGTTTTGAAAAATCTGAAAGATTAAAAGCGAAAAAATAAGCAAGTTTCTACAAAAGGGAGACTGACCTTCTGACCAAAGAAAAGACTGAACTAGCAAAGGAAAAGACTCACATAAGTACCCTTAAGAAATCAGAAGAAGATAAACTTCTGGAATTAAACAAGCGGATAACTAAGGACCTAGAAAAGAAAACTAAGGCCTTAAAGGAATCTGAGGCAGAGAGACTAAACTCAGTTGCTCTTAAAGATTTCTTCCAAAAGGAGCGGGAAATTTTTCATCAGAAGCTTCAAACCAATGAACTTCTGATGAAAAAGTATAAAGATGCCCAAGAAGTTTTTGAAAAATTAAACGGTCAAAAGGATACTCAAGGGATCGGATTCAATGAATTAGATTCATTCTTCTAATCAAAGAAATCCACCCTTGAATCCATTTTCAAACTTGGATGCATTCAAAAACCCGACTTTACTCCAAAAACAAAAGCAAATTTCAAAAGAGTTAAAGTCGATGGAAAAACTGTCGTTTCAAGACAGGATTTTGAAAATGTGGTATATGAGAAAAGTACATGTAAGAATTCTGATGAAAGAAAKGACATYTCTAAACCAGAGATTGTTGAAAACCCTATTGTAAAACAAGAATCTCTGTTTGTCAACTCTATTCCATCAGCAAGTACAGTTGATGAAAAGGAGAATCCGAATGAGGAATCATCAACTGATGAATCGATGAATCACTCAAGTAAAATTGAGAATTCATCGATTTTGACTTCGATGAAACCTCAAGAAGATCCCT